AGTAACAACAAACCATCTAAATGCAAACAAATAATAAGGAACGTGTAGAGTATGGTTATTTTTGTGTTTCACCTTTTTTGATTTTTTATCTTGTATATTTATTTTTTTCGCTTTATTCTAATAAGTTATGTTATTTATTCTTATTCCTATTATTTTAAAAAAGAAAGTCTTCTAAACTTAATCACAAAAATGATTAGTTGTCTTATTTTAAAATTTGGACCCAACTAAACCAAATAAGCCCATTTAAAAGTAGAGAAAATGGTTTATCCTTCTAAAGGACACAACCTTATGTCCTTTTAGTTTTTGACATTATATCTTACCGGTAATACATAATTATAATATGAAAAGTTTTTTTTTTCTCTTTCTTCAATCACTTCAGCTGATGTGGAGAGAGAGAAAAAAAGTAACTTTTCATGTTATAATTGTGTCTTACCGGTAAGACATAATGTTAAAAATTAAAAGGACACACATTTAACCCTTGAAAGTAAAAATCATGAAACCAAATGAATAACAGGTCTATAGTTATGGAATATGAAGGACCATTGAACTATTGTGTTTTGGGTTATTGCACATACAAAGAATATTCAAAAACCTAATTCTCAAATGTGAGAATTTTCCATCGTGCTTATGGTTGTTGCAAACATAGGCGATGTTCTCTAACGTGAGATATTGAAAATTTAAGGAATAGAGATAATGAAAGAGGAGACGAAGAGCAATGCGTATAATGCATATAATTATTATATTTGTGTATTTTCATATCTTTCGGACAATGTTTGGTTCATTACTTATTATGTTGTGGGAGAAAAGTGAAATTCTTATGTTTGGAATGCTTACCGGAAATGTTAGTGCATTTTTATATGTTTGCTTTAATATATAATCAATGATAATTGTTTATTTGAATTTTCAATGTTATGTGACATTATTTAGTACATAACTATGCTAGAATTCATAGTAAATTTTTCGTGATAAATTTGTGTAATTACAATAAATATTTTGATAATTTAATATGTCAATTTTTTAGCACCACCTAAATTTTTGGGCTGGCTCCGCCTGTGTAACTAGAGTTACTATAAAGATGTCCTATAAAAAAATGAAGCGAATACTTTTTTGGAAATTTGAAGGTAATGCTAAACCTTATTATATACAGAAGGTAATATGTGTCTAAGCCAACAAAAGTGAACAATGGGGGGCATACAGATCTCCATTTACATAAAAAAACAAAAAATATAAAACAGCATCAATTTAGCAAAAATAACGTATATTGTAATTTATGTATGAAATTCAGTTATAACTCCCGGCTTAATAATTTAAACTTTGGATATAATAAGTTATTTTACGTTGTATCAGAATGCATATTATGTGCACAATAAATTTAAAATAGTTTCCGACTCACTAACAAGAGTCTATAAAGTTTTTATGTTTATGACGTGTGAAAGTTGCAACCACTATGAAATCCTCAAGTGGATTTTTTTTCTTTTTATTTATTATTTATTTATTTGGGGGGAGGGTTTACGTCCTTTCTCACATTTCTACTTCTGATCACTGGGATTGTACCAACCCTCTCGAAACCTTAATGGCTGTCTATTTATATGAAATGCTCTCATATAATCTATGATCACTGATCAGTTTTGGTTTCTTGCGTTAAAAGTTCTAACCCGAGGTATACGTGTTTGATTTGACAAAGGATTGTAGACTTATTATCACTTGTTTCCCATTATTATACCTAAAAAATGCGACAATATGGGATAGTGTGATATTATTTCTTATGACATTGAACTATGAATTGGGGAATATTGTTACAACTTGCTACTTATGTAAAGTAGAAATGGTCAAGAAAAAATCGATAAGGAATGACTTAAAATCTGCATGAATAAATTGATGAGGAACCCTACTCCACCCCACCTAAATTTGCAATTTGTCAGCACATAAACCATCACGAAAGCACTTCCAAAATGACAATTGCACTTCTTCACCCAAATAGAAAAACAGGACATATCCAGAATATGGGAATATGTTATGTAAACAACTTTCGAGATAACTTTAACCACATCTAGCAGGTAACTCCAGTCTTATTCCGTAGTTGTGCATCACTCAATATGTAATATCGCAAATTATGTTATAACCCTGTTAGTGAAAATATTTTGGTTCTACTTATAGTGTTTTTCAGATATTTATTTCGGTATTATCTTTAAAAGAAAGTAATGTATTTCAAATTTTTAAAATTATAAATTGTGTATAACTTTTATAGATTTCTATATAATTTCCTTAAATTTATAATTTTTATTATTCTATTTGTAAGATTTTATATAAATTTATAATTAAAAAAATATAATTTTCTCATTTAAACAAAATAAAAAATTCAAGATACATAGACCCAATTTTTTTCCCTTCAAAATACTTTTGAGTTGAAAGCGTTTGGTGATATTGGGGTTAGGGTCCCATATGTTTCTTCCACATACTTTCAATAACAACTCATTCTCCACTTTCTCTACAGGACAAAACATAAACATTTACATCACAAAACAAAATATTTCTCATATTCAACCGTTGGTGGTTTATAGATATATTCTTTGAGGGTAAAGTATGTTGATATAGGGATATTTAGAATGACAATGGTAAAGACCAAGGTACTAGTGAAGTTTCTCATCATGCTGCATATCAAAGGAGGAGAGTATGTGTGAGTGGCTAGAATGGCTCTCCATAGAGATAGAGTAACAACCTAACAGTTCTGTAGAGGATAAGATCCCCTTTTATATGTAAAAGGGATATTTAGAGATGTTATACCTCTGTTAAACGTGGGAGAGAGAAGGGAAAGCTGTCACCTAGCCAACCTAACCTTTTTAGACTAGGCATGTTAAACTCACCATGTGTACAAGAGCAATAGTGCATGGGGAGAAGGAAATTCCTTGTGTTAAGCCTTCACGGCTCCTCAAGGGATACTCTCTAGAAAGTGGGGAATATATTCTCTAGGAAATTCATTGAACTATGAATTGGGGAATCGTTACAACTTGCTACTTAAAATCGATAAGGAATGACTTAAAATCTGCGAACAGTGGCCAAAGTGCCACTGTTGGCAAAAAATATATATCAAAATATCACGTTAACAGTAAATTTTGTCAAAATGCCACGTGACATATTTCGTTACACTGTGTAGCGAAATATGTGTGCAAATAATTCGCTACACGGTGTAGCGAAATATGCCACGTCAGAACCAAAAATGCCACGTGTCAGACAGGGAGAATTTCGCTACACAGTGTAGCGAAATTCTCCCTGTCTGACACGTGACATTTTTGGTTCTGTGCGTTCTGACGAGGCATATTTCGCTACACCGTGTAGCGAATTATTTGCACACATATTTCGCTACACAGTGTAGCGAAATATGCCACGTGACATTTTGACAAAATTTACTGTTGGCGTGACACTTTGGTGTTTTTTTTATCCAACAGTGACACTTTGACCACTGTTCCTAAAATCTGCATGAATAAATTGATGAGGAACCCTCCACCCCACCTAAATTTGCAATTTGTCAGCACATAAACCATCACGAAAGCACTTCCAAAATGACAATTGCACTTCTTCACTCAAATAGAAAAACAGGACATATCCAGAATATGAGAATATGTTATGTAAACAACTTTAGAGATAACTTTAACCACATCTAGCAGGTTACTCCAGTCTTACTCCGTAGTTGTGCATCGTACAACAACTAATATCACAAATTAAGTTATAACTCTTGTCTTGCTCTTTCGTTAAAGTCCAATACGACTTAGTATGCAAGAAGAGCCCAAAAAATCTAAAGCTCATTTTGTTTAGGGTTAGAGTTTCTTGGAACTCATATATATATTTTACACTTATAGTCATTAGATTCTCTTGTCTTCAGTACAGAAATTGAGGTAAGATCATCTACCTGAAAGTGAGAGAGCTCCCACACACTTTTCGTTTGGTCCAACTTCAAGAAGGTTGTTCACACTACGACGCTGAGGAAATCAGTTTGTAAATTCGTGCAGTGACGCAAAGGACTCAAGCATGTGGAGCATCACCTCAGATTTGCACTGACAAGAGTAATTGTGAACAATGATAATCCTATAGATCCAAACCGCAATGGTCTAAATGCTTCCGCATGATCTAATTGCTCTTACAATACGTGAAAATATTTTGGTTCTAATTACAGTGTTTTTCAGATATTTATTTCGGTATTATCTTTAAAAGAAAGTAATGTATTTCAAATTTATAAAATTATAAATTTTGTATAACTTTTATAGATTTGTATGTAATTTCCTTACATTTATAATTTTTATTATTCTTTTTGTAAGATTTGATATAAATTTATAATTTAAAAAATATGATTTTCTCATTTAAACAAAATAAAAAATTCAAGAACGACATGGCAGATACATCATAACGAAAATCTTCCCCTGAAGTTTAAAAATAAAATTTTATAATAATTAATTTTATTTAATATAATTTTTCAGGATAAACAAATATGTTAAAAGTTTATTAACATTTTGCATAATTAACTTAAGACAAGGTGCTAACATATTCCTTATCGATAATTGATTCTCGGATTCAATCTCTCTCTCTCTCTCTCTTTAACAAAAGAGCAATTGCTTACATAGAAGTGTTTTTCCAATATTGAATCCTTCTGTCTCTCTCTCTCTTTAACAAAAGAGCTGTTGCTTACATAGAAGTGTTTTTCCAATATTTTCTCAAAACAAATAAATATTGATAATGACTTATTATTTTATTTTCAATTTTTCACCCTCATGTAAGTATCCGATTGACACGTATACCCACCTAAGAATCTCTCGCATTAATAACCCCTAAGCTCAAGGTTCATGCATGTGAGGGGAGGAAAAGCTAAGGTAGTGATGCTAGCTTATTAGATGTCAGCTTAGCATCCAATGATTCTTTTAATCTTTCGTTCCCCTGCTGCCAGCCATGTTAATTATTGATTGCAAAAGGTCAGAGAAAATTAAAGCAGAAAAAGGCTTCTAGCCACTTTTCATTAATCATCATCGTCATAGTTATAACCATCATTCTCATAGTCATATGTTTCATCCATATTTTCAGTATACAAAGTATTTTCATCTATCACCCTATTATCCCCTTCATCCTCAAAATCATCTGCTGATCCCAGCTCATCATCCTTTTTTCCCTCTACCTTGGACTGTAAATTGTCATGATTATCAGAGGGTAGCTCAAATCGTACTTTCTTGGGATTATACAGCTCTGCCTGGGTATAAGATTGAATCACATTTAAATAAAAGAGAAGTTAGTATTTTTCCAGCGTCTTGATTTATATAATATAGGTTTATCCTCAGCAGACAACTATCCAAAATAAAATAATATGGTTAGAGTATATTTGCAAGTTTGTCTTTTAAACATGTGGAACAAGAAGCTACAACTAATTAGTAATTACACAAAAGAAATGTTAAAACTATCCAGTAAATCAAGAATCAGGTAAAGCAAAATTATCTACTCTTAACTTGAAATGCCATAAAACCTATCACCCAACAAAGACCACAGAAACGTGTATAATCAAAACAAGTTTCAGCCCTCGACTTCAAAAACATTGATATAAAAAAGAAGAAAGAAAGAAAATTCCTTCTTTTATTAAACAAATAATAGAAAGAAAGAAAAAGAATAAAAGGGGGAAAATGATCAATCAAGTAGACATGATCATGCAAAAGGATCTTAGAGTGTCTAGGGTTGGGCCAGGAGGTTTTTCCCTCTGCCTCCGGTTGTCGCGCAATCCCCTCTACAGCATGACCTGAAGCTTCTCAAGCTCAAGCATTTACTTTTCTAGTTAGAGACCAACGTTTGGGCCGCGAGAGCGGTACCAAATCGAGGCAAACTCTGGAAAGCTGCTTCCGTTTAGTGTAATAATGTGATTGGAACTTTCGACAAACGAGAAATGAAACGCCACTGGCAATTAGATTATTGACTGGTCTATGCTTTAAATATCTTAAGAATTGATTTTTGAATAATGACAAGAAGCAAATGACACAGAAAAGATGGCAACAAGTTTGACGTTTCAGGTATATCAAAAATATTATTCTCATGTTGGTGGAACTTAAAAGGTGTATAAATTGTAAATGCGTTAAAAAGCAAAACAGTAAGAGAATTACTGGTTCATCAAATAACTTTGCCAGGCGATCATAATTGACTTTGGAGCTGAGCCTCTGCAAATGATACAAGTAAACAAATATCATTAGTAATATATAAACAATTTCAGAAGATACTGTGTCAATAAAAAAACTGACATACATAAATCATGCAGCGCTCACTGACTTGACCAATACAGTTGCATGTACATAATAAAGTATAAATCATAGAGACCACGTATGGATGTTACCTCATCCCTATCTCGAGAAGGAAACAGAGAAGAAGCCTTAACCCCAAATACTTGAGGAGCACATGAATCCAAGGTCAAAACAATTGCTGGTACTCCTAAACTGTTCAATGTTTAGAAAGACTTACTTTTTTCCAATGCTTTTCACAAGCATATCTTTCCTTTTTAGTATTTACCTCCACGAAGGTTGTTATAGTTCACACAACATATTTTGGAAAAAAGAAGAAATGTGCTAAAAAATTACAAGCTATAGCGTTGCAGCCCAGTAACAAATAATAATCAATGGTTAGGAAATGAAGTTCAATGAACATATATTTCCTCTGCCTTGAGTGGATAGAAGGTTGTTGTAGCTGTTGATATATTATACGTTAAGGTGCCGTTTGGTGCATAAATTTAACATGCACTTCAGAAATGGACCTTCCAATTCCAATTATTTTGTTTGATGTGTACATTAGAATTGAAATTCCACAGAATGGGAAATGATAAAATCCCAAAGTTGATAAAGCTCTATATCAATGGTTGGTTGGTAAGTTGATATACCTAACACATACAAGACAAAATTTAGCATACGTGGTCAGTTTTATTAGCCAGTTCATGCATGATCTGAGAGTAAGACTTAGCAAGAAACAGGATCTTACAATATCATAAAGCCACACTTGGCAAAGGATTATTATTCAAAAAGGGTTGGAAATTTGTCAATTGAAGCGTATACAGAAGCTGACTATGCAAGATCAGTTATTGATAGGAGGTCATCCTTGGTTACTGTATGTTCTTGGGTGGAAATTTGATTACACAAAGGAGTAAGAAACAAAATGTTGTAGCCCAATCAAGTTCAAAAGCTCAGTTTTTGGCTATGGCCAAGGATTTTGTGAGCTAATATGAATGGAGATAATATTGGATGATGTAAGGATAAAGTATCAGACAACTCTGAAGTTATTATGTGATAACATATTAGTCATCGGCATTGCCTATAATCCAATTCAGCATAACAGAATTAAAGATAGACTAACTTTTCATAAGGAGAAACTAAATAGTGAACTGATCAAAATAACTTAACTTTCTCTAGAGGTTCAGCTGGCTGCAGTGTTAATTAAAGGATTTTCTACAAAGAGATTTCAAGATCTTAATTGCAAGTTAGGAATGAGAATGTCTGTTCAAAAGCTTGAGGGAGAGTGTTTAAATAGTCTCACATCAGTCACTTAGTAGCAGAACCCAAATAAGGAAGGTGTATGTATGGAGAAATAAAGATGGGTCCAAGGATTTAGATTGGCCAGGACCTATTATTTAAAGTGTTAGGGTTAATTGATATTATAGATAATTGTTACTAGATATTAATTGATAGAGTTAGATATAATAGATATAGTTAGTTGATACTAAGGGATATGGATAGATACAACAGTTAGGATTAGAGGATAGTTCTCGAAAGCATAAGTAGCTAGGATACAAGACAAAAAGGACAGAGGAAGGATTATTGAGTGGTAATAATTGAGTGTATGGAAGGGGCCAGACTCTCCATTTCCTGGGTGACACCGCTTGTAATCATTATTTCTCATCCTAACCTTGGGTTCTCCATTAATCCGGGGATAAGGGAGGTCATATCAATAAAAATCTCATCGGCTTTCTTTAATTATTCCCTAAATTTTGCCCAGTTTTATGAACAGGTATCAGAGATCCCAAATCCAGGGAGTCTTCCATGGTACACAAGGATGGAGGCTAGATTGGAATCTTTGGAAGCATGGATGAAACAGGCAGAAGAAGGCAACTGTTCTGGTGCTTGTCCTCTGTTTGATGCTCAATGCAGCAAAAAAGAAGGCCGATGGATTTGTTACAGTTCAGGTGGCGACTGCTTGTTCCCCTTCTCTTTGTCACTGTGCCTCTGCTCGATTTCGTTTGCTCCCATATGCGACATTTAGTTCCCTTCATTTCTATTCTACTCATCTACTGTTCCAGTATTCAACTGTTTTATGTGTTTTTATTTTATGCAATGTTGTCATGTTTTATTATATAAAATAATTAAAATTATATATATATATATATATATATATATTAATTCTTTAAAAAAATTGATATTAACGTTCCCAGACCCTAAATTTTCATAAAATGTAGTATCCTATACCGGCACCTTACCCATATCCGTGCAATGTAGGCTACCATTAATAACACCCACAATAGAAAGTAGATGCAAGGAGATCACAGACCACCAGAGAAGAAGAGGAAGAAAAACAAGGAACATTTACCATGTGTGTTGGAGATGAAATTCAAATGTGAGTGAGAAGTCCCATATTGATTAGAAATGGACCAAATAAAGACCGTATAAGTGGAAAGTCTCAGACTCACTAGCTTAAGGTCTTGGGATGAGATGTGGTGTCAAGCCCAATTATTGTGATAGCTTAGCCCATATATGAGAGGTATCCCTTAAAAGGGTTTTGGGCTCCCCCATACCATTCTAACAATGTAAGCATATATATTTTTTGATCATTTCCTTCCTTGTCAAAACCAGCTCAAAAAAATGCAGACTAACCTGAACAATAAGGTTAAAGTTAAACTGTCAAAAGCTACTAGGTACAAACCAAAGAATGGTCTAAACTTGCATATCTCACATGAACACCATAAATTCTAGTGCATGAAGCTATCAGAATGTTTCATGATCCAGCCTAAGCATATAAAATGGCTGAACAATCATACTATGTCTCTTGTAAACTGACTAGCTCTGATACTTTCTTTTGACAATCCAGCCTCAGAGCTGTTTTGGCTATCAGCCAAGTATGACCAATCCTAATTATGGATCAAAGTTAAGAAAACCACACCGAAAGTTTCAATGTAGAATACAAGAGTGTTAAAAGTCACGTGTCAAATCTTAACCATCAGATGCCTGTCTTTGATGTATGACTGTGTATGCTTGATATTATTCCTAAGAAGAACACTTATGGCAAGAATTTACTAAATCAAATTCCCAAAGGTGTGTGACTGTGTTATGCTTGATATTATTCCTAAGAAGAATACTTATGGCAAGAAGTACATATATTAGTACTGTAAAGATCTACTTCAACCCAAAACCTTAAGATATTGAGTGAGATTACATTAATGATTTTATATATCTCAACACGCCTCTCACACGAGAGCCCACTGGGTTTTATATTATACTCTAACAAGTACTAATCCAGAAGTTCCTTTTTCTTTCTTTTTTATGTTTCCCTAGGGCCCAAAAATAAATTTAAGAAAAGAAATAATAACTACATAAAGGGAAAAAAGATAACTTCACATTCACAAATATGTGTGCGCGCACAAAAGTGGATATGTGTATGCCTTGAGAAACGAAAAGCCATCATAATAAGTTCAACAAATAAAATATCAAAAGAAAATGCATGTGTTATTGAATAGATACCTTCGTTCTCAACATTTGGAGAGTGGCTTCTGCAGCAGATTGAGCAGGCCCTGAATTTTTTGCTTCACGAGCTCGTCTCTGTTTCATTTCCTGCAATAGTGTATTTAACAAACGAAAAAGTTATTGGCTTGAAGTCCTGCAGTAGTTTATGCAGCATTAATGACATTATGTAGACAAACATACTATGCATAACTATTGGATCCATTCTACTAAAGCACGCCACTTGACCTGTACATCCAAGAATACAGTCAATTTGAAATTAAAACAGAAATAAAAAAACACATATTACTTCAATTGGAATATGAATTCAATTCATATGCCAAACATATATTCCTGGGGAACAAACTGGAATATAGATAAGTTTGACACACAACAAACAGAGATATGTATATGTATATGTATATGTATATGTATATATGTGCATATAGCACAACATGGCCTTTCTTAGCCCCTTAGTTATAACAAAAGAAACACACATTAATTGTTCTACTATTAAACTCATAAAGTTACAGTCCTAGATTGTCTCCTTCAAATTTTCCCTTGCATTTGAGGCTTCAATTTCATTACCCACTAGCTCAAATATTAATACTACAAAATGTCAGGCCAGGGATTTCTTCATGCTTCAATTATTTAATCAGTTTTGATTCACAAAATAATGGATGTTCAAAATGGTTTCAACTCAACAAAGTACACTCTTATTAGGCTAACATCGTCAAAAATATAATTTTGAAACTATTCTTGTTATAGGAAAATCTTTTTAAGAAATAATGTTATCCATTTATCAAACTTGAATCTTCTACACAACTAATAACAACTCATTCCTGGCATTAGCACTGGCGTACAGACAACCACTCACATCAAAACAATTGCAAATGTAAACCAACATTGGAAAGCATTGATTTATAATTCATGCTTAATTGAAAATTTCTACTACAAATACAAATTAAAAAAAAAAAAAAAAAAACAAGACAAAACAAAACAAAACAAAAAATATAAATTGCTATTAATTATTACTTATTAGGAATAGATCCTCTCATGTCTAATTTGACATGACCAAGTCATTTGAGACAATCTCATTTGTTCATAGACAAATCTAATGGTGACGAGAGGAGAGAACATGGGTTAGGATAGAGTGAGGAAAAGATAATCGTTGATTTGCCAATAGACAACTAAGATCATCTCACATAACCTGATTATGTTAAATGAGGTATGAGAGGATCCATTCCCATTAATCTTCTGCATTGATTAGTAAGTTTGAAAACTTTTGCTGTGTAATCAATATGCAATGTCTTTTCTCATGAATCACCACAGCAGGGTCCCTACTTCATTGGATTGAAGCTTAAATAAACTGACTTTTCAAATGTCATGATGACCTTCTCCATGCATAGCTAATCATCCCAAACTACTTCATTGGATTGAAGCTTAAATATACTGACTCTTAAAATGTCATTATGACCTTCTCCATGCATAGCTAATCATCCCAAACTAACGCCCACATTAGTAAAACCTGAGCGACATTCTAGCACTGGTCATAAATTTAAAATATGGGCCAGGATCCATTGATAACCCGTACAAGACTTGAAACACTTAGACCATTGAGTAGCTTATAGAATGTGATTTTCATCAATGTTACCATTGAATCATGAGAAACTATCACATTGTTCATGCATACCATATTTCAATAACTTGGCTATTGATAAGCCAAAATCTAGTAGACAGTAGTTTTTTATATTTTGGAAAATAATATTGTATGTTAATTTAATGATGTACTAATAAAGCATAGAGTAGAATCAAATTGATGTGACACTTTCTTAACATTTTTTATGCAATGAGAGCTACAAATTGACCCACGGAATTCATGAAAATTTTATCTTGTTATTTAATGGTATAACTTCAATTAAGATCTTATAAATATACATTCAAACCAAGAACCTCATTGAAAAATTGATTCAAACATCACCATTCTGGATTTTGCTACAGCTGCAGCAGCAGATGCCGCAAGCTCTCTTGCTGCTAGTAAATCGTCCGAACAGTTTTCAAAATTTGCCTCAAAAGCTTTCTTAGCAGCTGCTGCAGCTGCTTCCTTGGCTGCTTGCTCCTGAAAGAAAAGATAAAGCTTGAGTGAGATCCATTGCACATTAATCTCCCACATAAGTCTAATAATCAAATAGCAAAACCAGGGGGAACAAAAGTAAAAGCAACAAGCATCCACTTCTGAGTTTGAAATTTAAATCATGATAAGCGGAAAACTGACAACTTTATCCAGCACTATTGAAACAAGGAAAAAAGTAAATATAATTTTTTGTACGGTTGTACCTCAAGATACTCTCGGTTCACTTTTTCCCATATTATCTTCTTGTAATGCTTCTCCTCGTCATTGTTAAGATACCCATCAACCTATACAGCATTCAGCATTTTAGCATGGAGAATAATCAATGGTTTATGATAGCGAGCACACAGACACACTCACATAAATATAATATATAGCAACATCAAGATGGGAAGGGCGTTTGGTAGGGGGTATTTTCCACGATTCCCGGGAAACTGAAATTTTCTAAATTTTGAATTTTCGAATATTATCGTAAAATGAATGTTTTCATCATATTTCTGAAAATCAAGATTCCCGGATAAAAAAAAAATTCTCCTCTACCAAACGCCCTAATATGAGAAATAAGTTTTGCCAGGAGAAACATTAAACTACAAGAATAACAGATTGTCAAAATCTTGAATCGATCACAGAAAACTTTTAGAAATAAAATGATTCATCATAATTACCCTACAAGATGAGTATAGCTGCTGGATTAAGAAATGTTTGTGTGCTAAATACCAGCTTTAAAAGGAAGGAGGGTGTAAAAAACCAATTCAACCCAAAACTTTAAGCAGTTAGGTAAATGCACATTAATGGTCTTATATTTAGATAATACTTTTCTAACACACCCCCGCACACGAGAGCCCATTGAACTTGAAGGATGGAAAACGTACAGGTCCACCTACCTGTGCTAAGAAAATCCATAATATTTAATTATTTATTAATAGAGTAGGGGTGATAAGGATCAAACTCGTAATTACTTGATCATAGAGGCTCTGATATTATGTAAGAAACCAATTTAATCCAAAAGTTTAAGCTGTTAGGTGAAGGCATGTTAATGGTCTTATATTTATATTATTTTCTCTAACAGAGGGAATTCATTTTGTTTCTCTCTCTGATCGCAAGCAAGGATAGAAAAAAATTTCAGCCATGCCACAATTATAATGAGTAGTAATGTTCTCAAGCTGGACATCCTAACGTTCTGACGAAGTTCACAATTATTGCTTTTCACCCTATTCCAAACAGAATGAGGTTCCCAACCAAAGCCTCACAACCATTTAGCCAATAGCCACTAAGGCAATATTTAGACACCAGATTCCCTAAGCCTAATCCACTTTCCTTCATTCGCTTACAACACTTTGTTTCACATAGACTATTTTGAATATTAGATGCTTTTCATGAACTGAAATTTACAATCTGAATGATGACTTCTCTGGCAACTTTTTACATACTAAACAACACCCCCAACCCCATCCCAAAATCAGAAACAAAATTTTGAAACAATGACATTTGACTAAAAAAAAAAACCAAGTATCTATTCGTCAACCAATCAAAAGAATCATGGGAAAAAAAAACCAGAAAATAGTTTTGCCAAAGAGTGAAACAGTCATTTACAGCTCCAAAAGCAGGGAAGCATGTTTTGATAAACAGCCAACAGATAAAGCATGGAACTTGTTAATCACCTCTTGATCATCAATATCTGAGAAACTTTCTGATTCATCATCAGTTTTTGCACTGGTATCATCTTCTCTATGTGACTCATCATACTTACCATCTTTAGTGGCCTCATGCTCAACATTAGCACCTATAAAAACAATTTATGAGCAAATTGGGAACGAAAAACTGTAAACAGAGGTAATCTTGCTCCTTGAGAGAGAAAGAAAGAATGAGAAATAAGAGCACCCACCAATACTTTCTGGCACAGAGGAAGGAAAATCTTCTTTCCGGCTCTTGCACGCACCATTTGATGCTTTCAACAACTAACCAAAATAACCGGCAAAAAAAAAATAAGAGATTTGTAAATTGGGTTTGTTTATGGCTTTTTTAAAAATTTTGTTCAGCATCATGTTGTATGGAAAGAGAAGATGCAATTGTCTTAAATTGATGCCAGATGCTCATATACATGACTTCATTCCCTTCAGAAAGGGTGGTTTCATGTAGGATAAGGACTATATGAAAGTAAAAGCTTCTACGGGGCCACATTATTGTAAAGGCCACTCCTCTTAGGAGTATTCGTGCAGCAGATGAGTTAACAAGTGGTTAAATTTACATGGTAACAGGGATGTCAGCGCTAAACTGTGAAAATGTGCAGACAGAGCATTTCTAATTGCCTCATACGGTTCATATCAAGGCATCTAGTATTCTTTGGCTTGATGTATTCAGTTTAAACTAGCATGGGCATGTTGTTCAGGTATAAAATTTGGCACCAGCATGTTGTCCCTAGAGTTTGTGGACAAATGTTTTCTTGTCCCCTCCAAGATAAAAATCAAAATTTAATGGAATTTAAGAGGATCTTCTCTAAAAACTTATTTTCATGGATACTTTATTGCCTAGTTATAGTTCTTAGTTTTGTTTATTAGACTTTTCAGATTATATCAAGTTTAGTTAGCAATTTTACTGTAAAGTCAATGTAAATAATTTTGCTTAATTGCATTCAAGACAAGCCATAGTGACTATTCAGAATCCTTTATAAGTTAAAAAAAATTATTTACATGAATACGTATAAAAGAAAATTCAAACTACCATAAGACCTAGTCAAGGTATACTTACATCATGTGATTCGTCGGCAATTTCCTCAGAAAGTGTGCTTTTCATTCTCTCCATCTCAGCTTGCTGGAATGCAGGAGGATCCAAACCACCACCAAGTCCTCCAGAGAGTTTATCAAACTGTAAGTGTATCAATCAGCTCAAAAGTAAATGGTAAAAATCAGCAGTGGGTTGAAAGTGTTGTCAGGATCGCGAGAAAAAATCGTACGATCGTATTAGCGAGTCAGATCGGAAATAAGATCGTTTTTCCGTGAAATCGAATAGGCGCTGCACTCTTTCTCTTCGTTATTATTATTTTTTTTTGGCCTAATATTATTTGAGGATTGAGTGCGTCTTATTTATTTGTTTGAGAACTTACCAGCACTTTTTTTTTCTTAAATGTTAATTATGCACTTTCTATTTTATTTTTTTTTCTTAATTTTTTTTTTTTGGAGTACATGGGAATCGAATACACTACATACACCTATTACACACCCCACCACTAAGCTAACCCTAATGTTTTTTTTCTTTTCTTTCTTAAAATATTAAATGTTAATTTTGCACTTTTTTGTCATGTTAAATGTTAATTATGCACTTTTTTTTATTGTTTTTTTTTTTTAAATGAGCTAACCCTAATGTTTTTTTCTTTTCTTTTCTTAAAATATTAAATGTTAATTTTGCACTTTTTTGTCATGCTTGCTTAAATGTTAAAACATTTTTTGAGTTGGTCTTAGGGCTCGTTTGTTTGGACTTCTTGAAAAAGTAACTTTTATTTTTTTCTTTTTTATTTTTATTTTTTTTTTTTTTTTGGTAAACATTTGTTTCTTATTTTAAAAGTGATTTTTATAAAAGTTAAAGCTATTTATATTTTTATAAAAATATTTAATTTTTGAAAAAAATATTTGACTTTTGACTTTTGATTTTCTTAGAAGTTAAAATTTTTAACTTCTGAAAAAAGTAAATTTTTGACTTTTTTGTGACTTTTTTTTGAAAAGCAGAAATCTAAACGAATTAAAAACGAGAAGTGTTTTTTTTCTTGGAAAAAAGCAGTTTTTGAAAAAAAAAAAAAAACTCATACAAATGGAGTCTTAGTTTTGTTTGCAAAGAAACACAATAAGTGGTGAAACCGTGTTGAAAATATATTTTTAAATGCTAATTAATAATTATACTGAAATTGAAATGGTGTCGCTGTGTGTTAAGGGCTAATTTTGCTTAATGCTTAATATTCTTCTATATGGGACTGAGTTTAAAATGCTTAATATATTATTTTTTTAAATTAAAATTAAATAATATAAGATCTTACTACCAGCGCCAATCCCACTATTTATAATCTTGTTATCCCATTGCAATCTTATATAAAATCTCGATTTTAAAAAAGCTAAACATCTGCACAAGGAAGAAATTGCTTACATCCTTATAGCATGTTTCACATAATCCAAGAGCAAAATACGCCACTCCACTATCCTTGTGCTCGCACAGTAGATCTTTTGAATTACATTTTTTGACTTCATCATTTGGAATTAGTGTTGGATTTCTTTCGTGTTCTTTTGCCATCGTATTCAATTCCTCAATCTGTAACCATAATAGATTGATGAAAATTTTCCATTACTTTCAAATCCAAGATTGAGAGCTTTGCCTTAAACACACTCAATAAACTTAAAAGTTCACAGCATACAAAAAGCCACCGTGACATCAAAAGGAATCAGAAACATACTGTCAAGCTAGAAGACTCTGTGTTCTCAAATTCAACCAATCGCTTGGTCAATGTTGCTTCACATACATGGACGATTCTTAGCTGCATTACAAATTAGAAAATCAAAATACGCCCAACAGTAGAAAATTACTGAGGCTCAACTAAAACAGCTACTAGAAAACTGAGTAACATCCTTGAAGTTCAGATCCATAACAGAGAGAAGAAACAAATCCATCAACAGTGTGTATCTAGTCTATGCAGAGCAGAAGACGAATGGCATATGTTACTGCTAATATGACCATTCTATCTCTTTGAGAACAAAAATGCTAAATGGAAACAAGTTGCAATACTAAAACCGATAAGAAAGAAATTTTGTGTGCCGTTTACAATACTATGCGCATATGGTACACAGACATAAAATCACCCTACATGCAAAAATATTAATAAAATAATAATTAGCTTATGGAAAGAAATATCCTAGTTCCAAAAAAATTAGAAACAGAACCATATATACTCCGGAAGTAACCTAGTACTGCAAAAGGGGATAAATTTTTATGGTCATAACTGAGTGTGAATATAGCATTGCTCTTACGGAAATCAACGACCAAGCATGTTCCACATCTTTATTTCAATGAAAAGGAAAATTCATTAAAGAAAGAACAGGCAATGTGTAACTTCCGGGGTGGGGGATAAAACATCCTCCACAAAAACAGATATATATATATATATATATATATATTTTAAAAAAGGAAGAAACATTGAGCAAGAGAAGAGAAATATTGAACCAAAAAAAAGCAACTTGAAAAAATCAAGAATGCAGCAAAGCTATCCAGTCTCTCTACATATTAAAAATGGAAACTCTATTGAAATAGCCACTAAGCATACCAACAAAAAAAAACCATATACAAATGTAAAGAACCAATTTAACCCACAAGCTTAAACTGTTAAGTGAAAGCTCATCAATAATTTTTTATTACATCTCTTTAACATGCCCCCTGACACGAAAGCTCATTGAGCTAGAAGAGTGGACAATGCATTAGGCCCCACCTACCTGTGCTTAGACGCTTCACAATATTTAATTATTTTTAATAAAATAGAAGCGGTAAGGATCAAACTTGTGATCACTTTGTTATAGAGGCTCAACCCAATTGCAAATATTGAAAATATATGTAATTATTTGTTTCTTTTATTGGGCAGATTTGTTTAAGATTTAGACAGATTATGTTTACGATTTGATTTGGGTTTATTCTTTTCGGCTCATTAATTTCTCTATAAATATTATAACCTTGTACACTTTTTCTTAAGTGAATAATATTACAGCTTTTCACCTTTCAAGTTGTTTAGAGCTTCGATATTGGAGCCTCTGCTTCAACTAAACCCTAAGCCTGCCTCCAGTCACAGTTGCCGCCTACCGTGCATGATCGTTCTTCAAAGCTTGCCTCCAGTCATAGTTGTCGTCTATCATGCAGGATCGTTCTTCACCTTTAGTGCGCTTTTCACTAGCTGAGCTTTGATTGAATCGGTTCAGATCCCATTCCAGTCACTGCCACAATCATAAGACGCAGTCAGCCGCTATCGAAAAATTTTCCGATGAACTTTCCGACCAAAAAGTACCTCAACAGGATCAGAAGGAGTTGATTTATCCATCTCCGCAAGACCCACCCTGAAAGGAGGCCCCACACGCTCTCACAGGCCACTTTTCTCCCTGTGCATGACCGCCACGCTACACCTTATGCCGGTGCAGTGGCCGTTCCACCCAACCATCCTCTCTTCAGATTTGCCTTCACTTAGCCACCCAACCATCCTCTCTCCAGATTTGCCTTCACTTAGTTCAATGGACATCGTTTAGTTCCCTGGTGTGTGATCTCATGCATAAAGATCTGATTTTTGTCAAAGATCCGACATTTTATTTCAGATTTGAGTTTTTTGGCTTTCTTGAACCTCCATTGTTCATATCTGATCTTTCCATCGCTATTTGGGGTTCTCGAAGACTTTGGTCGTAATTATCCACTCTCTCTTTTTTTGCTATTGTTGTGAATATTAGTTTAGAATAGTAGTTTACTAGTCGCACATCATGTATATCTCTTTGTACTTCCTTTCTTTTCAGTTATATAATAGACTCTCCGCTGTGTAGTCAAGACACATGGATTACTCACAAATCTCTCGGGTCCTGATATTTAACATGGTATCCAGAGCCTAACGAGAGGAATTTTAATCTACGTCTGTCCAGTGGACCTACTGTTCATCAAGTAAAATTTGTCTTTTCGGAAGCTGTCACACCGACAGTATTCCGGCCACCGTCAGCCACCGTCTTCTGTCACCGGAAAATTTCTCTGGCGACTGTTTTTGTCAAAGCATACGTCAACGGACTCAGAAGGAGCCGATCTACGCAAAGCCGAAAGACCCACCGTCATAGGAGGCCCCACGCTCTCTCACGCGCCACTTCACTCTCTGCGCGTGGCCAACACGCGCCACCTTCCTCCGGCGCGTGCGGTGTTTTCCGGCAACCGTTCGCCGTCGACCAAGGACAGACTTGGTCGCTCAGCAATCCTCTTTCTAGATTAGCCTTCACCTCGTTCAACCAACTTTGTTTGGGTCTTCTTGTTCACAGTTCGTGTCCCCTGATCGTGTTGCCTTTGTTCGTGTGCTGCTGTTTGAAGCCAGCAACAACCATTTGTTCCTGGTTATTACTCATCGGACAACCTTGTTCTTTGTTCCTGTTCTCGGGCGAAGCTGTTCGCATTTGCTGCCACAGCCAGGAGCTTGCTTGCGGAGTAGATCCACCGCTCCACTTTGGTTCTGCTGCTACTATTTCAGATTTGATCAGCCACCATAGTCGCAACATTAGATACAGTCACGTTTTCCATACCTGTGTGCTTTTGTTCCCAGTGTTCGATCTTGCTGTTGCGTGACATTGAGGTTAATTGTGACTTTGGTTCTTTATTTTACTGGTACTTTATTCTAATTTTGGATCATGGATGATTCTAGCTCATTTCCTCAATATGTTCCTCGGTCCACTATCCCTGGTTCCATGGCTACTGTTGCGCATATAGGTAATATCATCGTCTTTCTCAATCACATTTTTCTTGTCTCTCTTCTTTGTCTTCTGTGTCTGTTCCTAAGACTATAGGTGAGGCGTTATCCCATTTCGCATGGCGACAGGCTATAATTGACGAGATGTGTGCACTTCATGGCAGTGGTACTTGGGATCTCGTTCCTCTTCCCTCTGGAAAATCTGTTGTGGATGCAGATGGATATTTACTGTCAAGGTTGGTTCTGATAGACAGGTGGATCGTCTCAAAGCACGTTTGGTGGCCCCAAGGGATATACTCAGGTGTTTTGCGAGGATTATGGGAATACATTTTCCCCAGTGGCAAAAATGGCATCCGTTCGTCTCTTTATTACTATGGCTGTCATTCGTCACTGGCCCCTCTATCAATTGGATGGCAAAAATGCTTTCCTCAATGGTGATCATGCAGAAGAAGTTTACATGGAGCAACCTCCTGGGTTTGTTGCTCAGGGGGAGTCCGGTTTAGTTTGTCGACTCCACAAATCTTTGTATGGTCTCAAACAATCTCCACGAACTTGGTTTGAGAGGTTTAGCACCACTGTCCAGCAGCTTGGTATGACTCGAAGTGAGGCTGATCACTCGGTATTTTATCGCCACTCAGACTCTGGATCCATTTATTTGGTGGTATATGTTGATGACATTGTCATTACAGAAGACGACCATCAAGGCATTACTCAGTTAAAACAACACCTCAATCGTCATTTTCAGACAAAGGATCTTGGAAGACTACGATATTTCTTGGGAATTGAAGTGGCTCAATCCAAGGATGGTATTGTGATATCCCAAAGGAAATATATTATGGATATTCTTGAGGAGACAGCTCTGTAGAATGCTAAGCCCGTCGATACTCCTATGGATCCAAATGTCAAGCTTGTGCCAAATCAGGGGGAACTATTTTCAGATCCAGAAAGGTATAGAAGATTGGTTGGGAAGCTGAACTATCTCACAGTTACTCGACCAGATATCTCGTTTGCACTCAGTGTAGTAAGTCAGTTCTTGAATTCTCCTTGTGAAGATCACTGGAATGCAGTGATCCGTATTCTCAAGTACATCAAGAATGCTCCATGTAAAGGTCTCCTCTATAAAAACAAAGGTCATACCAGAGTTGAGGGATACTCAGACGCTGATTGGGCAGATTCCCCCAGTGATAGAAGATCCACCTCTGGGTATTATGTATTCCTTGGAGGTAACTTGGTTTCTTGGAAAAGCAAGAAACAAAGTGTAGTTGCCAGATCAAGTGCTGAAGCAGAATATCGCTCCATGGCCACAACCACCTGTGAACTCTTCTGGTTAAAACAACTACTAAAGGAACTCAAGTTTGGAGACATTGACTCAATATCTCTCATTTGTGATAATCAAGCTGCTTTATATATTGCTTCCAATCCAGTGTTTCATGAAAGGACCAAGCACATTAAAGTAGACTGTCATTTTGTCAGAGAAAAAGTCCTCTCAGGAGAAATAATCACTAGTTTTGTTAGCTCAACTGATCAATTAGCTGATGTATTCACAAAGTCTTTGAGGGGGCCTAGGATAGATCACTTAAGTAACAAGCTTGGTGTATATGATCTATATGCTTCAGCTTGAGGGGGAGTGTTGTGAATATTAGTTTAGAATAGTAGTTTACTAGTCTCACATCATGTATATCTCTTTGTACTTCCTTTCTTTTCAATTATATAATAGACTTTCCGCTGTGTAGTCAAGACACACGAATTACTCACAAACCTCTCGGGTCCTGATATTTAACAGCTATCTTCTTCTTTTTTCGTCCATGGGACGTTCGTGCATCCACTCCACTGTAAGAGGTCTAAACACACAAAAGACATGTATTTTCGCCTTCATGGGAAGCAACAAGTTCTAGACAAGCTTGGTAAAGCATCCCCATATTTGACTATTCAACGAGGATAGTCGAAACAAATTAAGGCCATTGCTAATACTTTTAGTAATCCATATGACACTTGTCCTTTGGCTATGTTTGATAAGATCACACACCCCACATATCTTTTTACTTCTTGCACTAATTTCAAAAATTCATGGATTATGAATTTTGGTGCAACTGATCATATAACTTGTCTAGCAAACCCGTTTCTTTCATAACACCCTATTAGTGATATTCATACTATAGTTGTAGCTGATGAATCCCACAAAGAAGTTTTGGTAACATCAAATTCAACCCTCCTTGTTTCTAAAAAATGTTCTTCATGTTTCTTAGTGCTCCACCAATCTTATCTCCACTTATAAGTTTACAATTGACTTGAATTGTGCTGTCACATTTTTCCCTACGCATTGTGTTATTTAGGATCTCACCACGGGGAGGACAGTTGGAGCTGCTAAGGAGCAAGTGATATCAAGAATCAATTATTGATGACTCATCACTCGTCTACTCCAATATCAAAGATTTGGCTTCATCACAAGTATTTGGAACACCCATCATTTAGCCCACTGAAGTCAATGTTTCCTTCTTTATTTCTGTATCAGTCTATTGACTTTTTCCATTGTGATGTTTGTGAACTTGCAAAACATTATCGTCTCCATGGATGTCACTTTCCATGAATCTGAGTCATTTTTCCCTTGTCATCACTTTCACGGGGAGAATAATTCAGAAACTTCGTCAATTTTCACCTTTGAGTCTGAGCTCCCTTACCATTACCCATACCTCCTGAATCAGTCTTTACTTCCTCGGGTGCCCTAGAATTTGAAAACAAGCAAGAAGACTTGGTTGATAAGGCTGACAGTCCATCTCATACTCGTTAGAAGTCCCCTATCGATTGAAAGAAGGTATAGAAGGCTCGGACACCCGAACTACTATATCAACGTGACAGAACCAAGCATATTGAGATCGACCGTCACTTCATCAAGGAAAAACTAGACAGCAGACTAATTACTACGCCTTATATTCACTCTGGTTGTCAACTACTTGATGTCTTGACCAACGAACTTCCCATAGACAGATTTCAAGAACTTCTTGGCAAGCTGGAAATGATAAACATCTATTCCTCAGCTTAAGGGGGAGTGTTGTATATATTGAAAATATATGTAATTATATGTTTCTTTTATTAGCCAAACTTGTTTAAGATTTAGACAGATTATGTTTAGGATTTAATTTGAGTTTAGTCTTTTAAACCCATTAGTTTCTCTACAAATATTGTAACCTTGTACACTTTTTCTTAAGTGAATAATATTACAGTTTTTCACCTTTCATGTATGTTAAGAGTGTTAGTGTTAATAGTGTAGAAGTCCCACACTGAGTGTGTCTCTTTGTATTCTTCAATTGGTTTGCTATATAATAGCACCAATGTTGTGTAGTTTAATACAACAAGGATTACTATCATTTCCTCTTGTATCTATGATATTCAACATGGTATCAGAGCCTAACAAGAGGAATCTTAATCCGTTTAACTTAGTTCTATTTTCCATAATTTCAATATGGTTATAGAGAGATATCACCCTGCTTGTGGGATTCTCGTTGCTATTTCTTTTTCGGGTTTTTCTTAGTATGCTCTGTGACTGCAGCTTAGACTGATCTGTCACATCAGAAAAGAATGATCCTTGGGAAGTTGTTGGGTTGACCACCGTTGTCGTTGACCGACCACCGTTGACCGCGTTGTCCACCGTTGACAGCCGTCTCCGGCGACTTTTTCGGTGACTTTTCCGATGACTTTCCGGCGACTTTTCCGACGACCCACCGCCGTCTCCAGCGAATTTTCCGATTCCGCGAAGCTTTGTTTTTCTTTAATCTTCTTTCTTCCTAAGATGGAGTATTTATACTATTCATCATCCATCTTGAGGGGGAGCACTGTCCAAGTTGCTGATGTTGTCTCCGCTGATGTTAATTCTGTCACCGAAGTTCCTCTTGAGGGGGAGCACTGTCCATGTTGTTGATGGTCATTCCAGCACAATTGTCTTTGCCGATGATAATTCTGGCACTGTTTAGAAGTTCCTCTTAAGGGGGAGCACTGTCCATGTTGCTGATGGTCATTCCAGCACAATTGTCTTTGCCGATGATAATTCCGGCACTGTTTAGAAGTTCCTCTTGAGGGGGAGCACTGTCCATGTTGCTGATGGTCATTCCAGCACAATTGTCTTTGCCGATGATAATTCTGGCACTGTTTAGAAGTTCCTCTTGAGGGGGAGCACTGTCCATGTTGCTGATGGTCATTCCAGCACAATTGTCTTTGGCGATGATAATTCCGGCACTGTTTAGAAGTTCCTCTTGAGGGGGAGCACTGTCCATGTTGCTGATGATCATTCCAACACAATTGTCTTTGCCGATGATAATTCCGACACTGTTTAGAAGTTCCTCTTGAGGGGGAGCACCGTCCATGTTGCTGATGGTCATTCCAGCACAATTGTCTTTGCCGTTGATCATTCCAGCATCTTCCATGTTGATGTTCATTTCGACGCCATTTTTAGCACATTGTTGATTTTTGGTTTCTCATTTAGGAGATTTATTTTGATGTCATGTTACTTGGTCTTTCTTGTAATAAGCTTGTAGCATAGTCAAGGGGAAACCACGGCTGCTCACCAATTGTTAAATGAAATGTCTGAGAGGGATCTTGATGTTAATGTCCTGGTCAGCTCAGTTGTCGATGATAATTCTGGCACCATCCATGCTCTGATGTCCATTCCAGCACTGTCTCTTTATCAGCTCTTCAGACTGATGGTCATTCCAGTTGATTTGTTGTACTTAGTCATTTCATTTCGTTGATGTAGCATTGTTGTTTTTGGTTCCTAATGGGAGTATTATTTATGTATCAAGCTTGTAGCATATGATCTATATGCTACAGCTTGAGGGGGAGTGTTAAGAATGTTAGTGTTAATAGTGTAGAAGTCCTACATTGAGTGTGTCTCTTTGTATTCTTCAATTGGTTTGCTATATAATAGCACCAATGTTGTGTAGTTTAATACAACAAGGATTACTATCATTTCCTCTTGTATATATTCAACAATGTACAAATAATCCCATCCCATAGTAGGTTTAGGAGGAAAACACACTTAAAGATGTAAACATTCCACTACAATCAACGTACAATGATAATTTAAAATTGGATAAAAGAACAAATATAATTGGAAGCCAGAAAGAGAAAAGTACAAGAACAGAGGAAAAGAAATTCTCCTCAGAAGAATAAAAAAGGAAGAACCAAAAAGAAAACTCGTCGACTAACCAAAGCTGGATAATCACTACCACAAAATTTTGGCCTCCTTGCTTTTGCTAACTTTTAGAAAAAGCCATCAGATACAGAGATTGCTCCAAAGTAAAGAGACAACCCCATTGTTCACTAAGAACCCCAAAACAATGGTTTCATAAGAAAGTATTCACCTTACAGTTGCAAAAAAAAAAGAGCCTACTTTGATGTAGAGGAGGACTCACTCCTAAAACCCAAGCCGCTAAAAGGGCAGAGCCTCTACTTTAAATGAGAGTTCCATGTCTCCCACCCAACGGATAAGGGACTCGTACTCCTGTATCAATTTCATCGGGTTGGAAAGAGCAGTTCATCCTCACTCAGGTGGACAAACAGGGCCCTAAATAAGCAAGTCCAAGCTTTTATCATAGACAAGCAAATACTCGATTCAACCTACCAATCTCAACAAATCTAATGTAGTTGTGGTCGTTGTGACTGGTGAGATCATCAGATCCTAAATGATTCACACAGATATCACAATAAAACAAGGAAATTCATGCATAGTTTTGCAATCATCCAAGTAACCAAGCTTTAACTTAATTTTGTATTTTTCAAGTCAAAACTTCTGGATTGATAGCATCCAAGTGCACTTTCAAGTAAACCTGTATTCATGCATGATACATTCACCTAATAGGATTTCCAAAGTTCTAAATTTCATATATGGTATATAGTGACCAAAAGAATCTATTATCACTAAATGTAACGCCACCCCATATGGCTACATACCACTAAAGCAGCAATGAAGTGACTTAAGTTGAAGTTACTTTCAAAAGAGACTTAAAAGGTATTAATCAAAAAATTCTAGTTCTCTAATTCTATTAATTACATCTACGACAGAACTAACGCAAAAAAGTACAGAATAGAGTGAGTAATAGTGATGGCAAGGAAAATTGGAAGAGAGAGAGAGAGAGTAATAATAACAAAGAAACATAGATCAGAAGGGTGAGGAGAAAGCATATGCCATCAATCAGACATCAATATGAGCCCATATATTTTTTCCCTATACACTGTGGACAAAGCATTGAGCGCTTTTAAGATTATCTACTCAGTAATGATTATCTTAAAAAAATGTGAGGAACTGTAAAGGTTGGAAAAAATACACTATTAGCCACATATGACATATAATGATATAATTCAATCATAAGGTAGTTCTAACTTACAATATCTGGCTTAGAGTACTTAAAACCATGTGCAAGAGCAGAAATGTATAATGCTGCACCACATAATCCACTAGGTTTCCTCCCCGTCTGTTTTCAAACATTAGAAATACAATATCTTCATTGTGAAAAAGAGTTCACAAATTCAAATCCACAACAGATGCTTTCTTTTATTGAAAAGTCCAATGCCAGACCAACATCAAGTTACCTGCATCCAGTCCCGTTTCATGCTTGCAATAATGCTCAGTGCAGTTTCCGAGACAAGCACACTCCTTTGGTTTAATAAATCTACATGCAAATCAATCTAATTATGTTTCCTCACTCGAAGAAAGAAAATATGCGAGAGAAATTTTAAATAATGAAATACTTAAACCAAACCATGTTTAAAATTCAAATATATAAAATGGATAAATATTTTTTCCATGTTAACAACATATAAGTTAAATGGTGTTAATAAATTTCATCTTATATCAAAAGAAAAACAACATATAAGTTAAAATATAAAGGAAAATTTTCTCAAATTAAAGTAATTTATGACCATTTTCAAATAAACATAAACCAGTTTATAATTCCCTTCTATATATTCTCAATTTATTCAGGGTAGTATCTAATGTCAAGGGCAAATCTTTGAAGGTCAGGAGTTTGAGAAAGGCACTAGAAGAAAGACTTGCAAGAGAAAACACCAGAAGAATACGGAGTCCAAACTCTTTTAACTAAATTGAGAGATTAAGATTGTTAGAATATCAAGAAAATATCTCACAATATTATTATTGTAGCTTAAAATATTTTAGAGTATCATAGATGATCTCTCAAGAGTGGTTTCCATATTTCATCCTTTATTTCCATATTTGATTAGGATTAGGAGTCTAGTATTAGTATAAATAGAGCTTCAACCTGACCTTGCATTTATGCAAAGAGATTTTTTCTCATACTCGAACTCGTGTTCCAAGACTCGCCCTCTCACGTCAATATATATAAGAGAACATTATTCATAGTCTTTTTTGTCTCCCTTTCCCTCCATATTTACCTAAATCCTATAATTTTAACATGTATCAATGCTACCATCCTCGTGACCTATCCTGTTACCATTCAAATGCCAAGTTTCCTAAAGTTTGGAACATAGTATTTCACCTTACCTTAATTTTTTTGCAATTGTCTTATGCCTCTCGCAGTCTATGACAAATTATGGCCACTCTTTCTCTTTCTCGTTAATCTTTGTCAGTGGACTTTACTGTCCACCACTGCCACCATCTTTTCCGAAATCCCTAAATCAGTTTGTCCCATCTCACTGTCGGTTCTTGATCGTTCGATTGCTAGAATTTAACCACTGCTAGAGCCACCATGTGCCAGATGTTCAAACTCCAATATGTAGATTTATCTTGTAGTTTGTGAATTTACCGTGGGTGTTTGGCTACCCTCCTCAGCTGTTGTTTTTTGCTTGCATCTTTTGGGTCAGGTTCATTATGCTCCAATTCTTCTCTAATTTCTTGGCATTCTTTGTGGTGTTTATCTCTAGTTTGTCATTGTTTAGACTACTAGTTGTTTCCATCCCAACTGTAGTCTACCCATCTCCTTCTCATATGTAGTCTAACCTCGTTTCTATCATATATTTATTTCCAAGTTTACTGGGTCTCCTATGTTTTCATGTTGTTTGAAGCTGCCAAATGTTGAATCTTAAAGAAGTTTTAGTTTTTATTGTGTTATATTTGCTTGCCAAGAAATTTCCCCTAATAATTTTTCTGGCAATGTATCTTCTTTTTTCATGCAATACTACAATCAGCTTGTTAGAGAATAGTATAAACTATTAAAGAGGCCTTCACTTACCACCTTAAGCTTTTGAGTTGAAATAGTTCTTTACATAGTATCAGAGCTTCAATGACCACAAGGTCACGAGTTCGATCCTCACCCCCCTCCCCCTAACTTTTTCTTGTGGAACTTTTTAGTATAGGTTGGTGGGCCTGTGCATTATCCACCCTTCAAGCCTAGTGGACTCTCGTGTGAGGGGGTGTTAAAGAAGTATAAAACCATTAATGTAGCCTCACCCCACAACTTAAGTTTTTGGGTTGAATTGGTTCTTTACATAGTATCAGAACTTCGGTGTTACGGGTTTGATCCTCATCGCCTTTTATTTAGTTAATAATCAATTAAGTATTGTGGAGTTTTTTAGCACAGATAGGTGGGCTTGTGCATTGTCCACTCTTTAAGCCCAATGGGCTCTCATGTGAGGTGGCGTGTTAGAGAACAGTGTATACCATTAAAGAGGTTTCACTTAACAGTTTAAGCTTTTGGGTTGAAATGATTCTTTAACAGTTTATATTTTCATATTATGTTCTTTTAAATTGTTAATTTGTAACAAGTTAAAAGCTTAATAAGCTTCAACTTGAGGGGAAGAGTGTTAAAATATATAAAAAATATCTCATAATATCATTATTGTATCTCATAATATTTTAGAGTATCTCATATCATCTCTTAGAATTGACTTTTGTATTTCATTATATTTTTGTTTCCTCATTTGATTACGATTCAGAGTATAGTACTAGTATAAATATTATATTGACCTAATTAAACAAACTGAGCTAGAAAAAGATACTTACTATTAGTATATTTATAAATAAAAAGACTAGGATCAACTGGCTTTTGAACAATTGGGTGCTCTTCAAGCCTTAACACTTTACAAAGCTGCAAGAAAACTGCTCCAAGCACATAACTGCACAACAAAGTCATGAACAGGAACAAACAACATTCAGAAACACACACACACACAAAAACAGAGATACGTTAAGGTGAAATTAGTGTCAGAACTCCAGCAACAAAAGAAAAGCATACTCACACATTTGTCCTTAAATAATTTGAAAAATCAATAAGAAGGTATGGTTTATTGTTTTGCCTGCAAGAAAAAAATATAATTTCAGCATAAAAAATAAAATATTGCAAAGAAGATCAGACTCATTAATGATAAAACAAAAAACAAAGGAAGAAAAACACATTCCATTGAACCCATGCTGCACTTAAACCAGTCTTACAGAACTTTTCACCATCAATTACTATTCACAAACCTATCACTATTCACTAACTAACAACCCTGACCCAGTGCTAGCAGCAACCACAATCCCATTGCAAACACAAACACCACAAGCCCAAATAAATGCACCTGTTATAGAATTTTATAAAATTAAGAGGAGCTGAGGGAAGGATAATCAAGGAAAAGATAAGACTACAAGGGGGAGAGGGAGAGAAAGACATTATAAAATGTCCTGTCTAACAATCCTTTTTCCTTGGGGGCGAATAGAAATATTTTTTTCCAAATGAAAAACATATTTCACTAAATATCTCTTGTTTATTCCTTCCTTAACAAGGTATCTAGAGTCTAACAAGAGACAATCCAATTCCGTGCCTACTTGGTGGATCACTACCCATCGATGACAAAAAAATTTCCACAAACCATGTTCCACTAGTTTCCAGTCTCCTTAGCCATGTCATCCTTCCAAATGCTTCTAAAGATGTTCAAAGGCCGAGCCACTGTTTTGACCAAATATTTCAATACCCTCTTTTCATTGACAAGTTGGATGGTACGAAATATGACGCTTGTGCATCCAATATCATGCTCTGGCTCAGCAGCCAATAAGATGTGGACCACCTCACTACCAAAGCCAACTTAATGCCAACGCCAGAATAATCCAAATAGGCTAAGATTAATGCCCCATTATTTAGCATCATCAAAGGAATTATTCATCCGTTGTGAAATAGATCTTGAAGAATATGTCTGGACTCAAGCCAAGGTCCTCTATACCAAAGACACTAAATGCTATTATGGGATATGCCAAAACCTCATGAATGCCATTGCCCCTCAAAGGTTTGATGGCTCTAAGTCAGAATATTAGGGCAAGATTCATGGAGCCCTACATGATTTCAAGGATCCCGTTACTATTACCCATACCCAAGAGCTTAAGTAGCGTAATACCTTCTTCATGTTGTTGGCCAACTTTTAGGATCAAATTTTAGGATCACTTATTGTCCCAACTTTGAACATAGTGTGGTCTACTCTATTACATGTTCTAGCCAAATAGTTGTCTGAATTGGAAGTGACCCCTGCTTCTGCTCCTACATCGGTTGATTCCTTAGCCCTTTTATCTCAAAGCAATAATTGTGGTCGTTCACGTAAGTTTGGTTGATCTCATCCCTAGTGTGATCATTATCATTGGTTAGGGAACACAATTTACAAGTGTTAAACTCTCCATGAACGTCCTCTTGCACAGTCAATATTACCCAAACTACTCCATATGACACATAAGACATCAATTAACCATCCCCACCTCCTGCCGCAACACTAGCTACCTACGTCGATTTCCTCAAGTGGTTCGAGCAACATCAAGTCTCAACTTCCATTGCCTTTATTGTTAATACAATAATTCTTTCGTTGGTCTCTCTTTATCACCATACCTTGGTTCTAGGGTTCTTAATTTTGGTGCCACTAATCATATGTTGAGTGATAAGTCCTTTTTCTCCTCCTTTTTTTTTCTAACTATTTGTCAGCTATAACCTCGGGTAATGGTTCAAAGATAAAGGCCGCCTAACCCACCTCAACTTGTGAGGCTCGGGGCACTAAGGTTTACATCCCTACAAAGAGAACTAGGTTTAACTTTAGGGATAATCTTTCCTACCACGGCTCGCACCCCATATTTATTTAAAAAAAAAAAAACTCAAGTTAATCAAAGAATTGGAACCATCCATCCATTTCCCTCCCCCTCCGTTGATAATATATTTTATGTCCCTGGTTTTCCATTTAATTACTTTCCATTAACTGGTTAATTCATTCTCTTGACTATCTCATCTCCTTTACTAAAGATTTTTTTATCTTGCAAGACCGAAGTTCAAGGAAGAGGATTGTGCCAAATGTGAACACAATGGTCATTAAAAACTTTCATGTTCTTCCTATGTTTGCTCTATCGTGGATTCTCCCCTCACCGGTCATCCTCATTTAGCTTATCCTAGTCCTACCAAGCTCCGAAAATTGGAGTTGCGTCTATCCAAATCGTCTACTATACAATGTGAGTTGTGTTAGTAGGGAAACATACACGTAGTTTGTTTCCTACTAGAGTTAGTGGTAATACTATGTTTTCATTTTCTTTAGTTTATTTTAATGTTTTGGTCCTAGTCATATTGTGTATATTTTGGGATCCAAAATTTTTGTCACCTTTATTCATTATTACTCTTGTTGTACTTGATTGTTTTTAATGGAACATTGATATGAGTTGTTTACTATCTTTCAAAGGTTTTACAATGAAATTCTAACTCCATTTGGTGTCTTTATCAACATTTTCAAAAATTTATGCCCACTAGTTGCATTCCAAACCAAATTGACACTAGTTGCATTCTAGACCAAATTAAGTCTACTGAGAGCAAAAACCAACACCTAATTGAGACAAATCAAACCCTCTCACTTCATGGACAATTCCCTTTTTTTGATTTTGGAGTTATTCCGTTCTCATTGCTTGATATCTCATTAATCAGATGCGTTTTGTTTTCCTTAATAACCCAAGTACCTCATTTTGTGTTTTTTCTCCATCAACTTCTACATTCTTTGGCATTATGTGTCTTTAACTTTATTTGTTTGTTCATATTCATATGCTCGTCTTGCTATGGATAAGCTATCAACTCAACCCCACAAGTGTGTCATCTTTTCTTACACTTGGTCTCAGAAGGGTTATCGATGTTACTCTCTTTTATCCACTAATAACTTGTCAAAACCAATATTACCTTCTTTGAGTTTGTTCCTTTCTTTGCGACCCCCTCCTCGAATCTTGAGTCTATCTCTATAGTTTGCTCTCTTCCTCCGGTCTTAGTTGAATTCACCCCATCACATTTAGGCAACCCGACTCCTTTTCATCCCCTACAAGTATATCGTCATTGGTTGCATTTACCTTTAGCACCTAAACCAGTCTCTACTCTTGTGGATAATGAGGTCAACACGAACTCCACTCCAAATCCTATTAGTCCAACCTTGCCTCATGACGCTGACCTTCCCATCACTCTCAGAAAAGGTATTTGTTCTTCAAGTAATCCCTCTCCCCACTATATTACTTTGAGTTTGCATGTCTCCTTCGCATTATGTTTGTATTTCTTCTATGTCCTAAGATTGCAGGTGAGACTTTATCTTGAGTGGCAACAAGCTATGGTTGATGAATTATGTGAACTTCGTAGCAGTGTGGGACTTAGGATCTCATTCCTCTTCCTCCAAGGAAATGGATATTCAGATGCTGATTGGGCAGGTTATTCCACATTTCCACTAAAAAAAGATCCATTCATGGGTATTGTGTATTCATTTAAAGTAATCTAATAACCTAGGAAAGTAAGAAACAAAATATTGTTGAAGATCAAGTGTTAAAACAGAACATAAAGCCATGGCATCAACTACTTGTTAACTAATTCGGCTCAAACAATCACTTAAAGAGCTAAAATTTGGAGAGATTACACAAGCAACGATCATTTGTGACAATCAAATTGCACTGCATATTGCCTCTAATCCAATTTTTCATGCAAGGACCAAATGCATTAGGATAAATTGTTAGTTCAATAGAGAAAAGAACTTATCAGCAGATATCGCCACTCATTTCATCAATTCAAATGATCATCTTACATATGTTTTCTTCAAGCCTTTGAGAGGTCCTTGAATAAGCTACATACGTAACAACTTGGTGAATATGACCTATATGCTCTACCAGCTTGAGTGAGAGTGTTAGAAACAATGTAAATATTGTCTAGGTTCATTACATAACTAACCATAATAATGCGATTACAGTAATTCCAATAGCATAAAATATTTTTATTTATTACTTTTTAGCTATATAATCCATACTCCAATGTACAGTTCAAACATACAGATTTCACCAAATATCTCTTGTTTCCTCCTTCCTTGACATCATCCATAAATTGGAATTGGAAGCTCTAGCATTCATTCTATCAATTTAAGAACTAAACTTAAAACTTGACTACATGCACCCTAATCTTAAACATAATCTATTGAATCTAGAAAAATAAAATATGTCCACAATACAATAGATGACTTAAGTCCACCACAAAAATACACCAAAATGACTTATATATTAAGATCATTATCTGACACTTTAAACAAGGGATCTTCAAAAAATTTGAATCATGCGGTTACTCATGGGAATTATAAAATGATAAATGTATGAATAAAGTTAGATATACAGATTCATACAAAACCCATGCCAAAAAGATCTCATACCTGAATGCAATATAGAGACAAGCAGCCTGTACTTGCTCTGATTTACGTCCACGGGTGAAATTTCGCTCAATCGCTATCTGTGCTAGGCAAATCAAGGATTCATTTAAAAAAATTCATTTCTTACTCGAATATATAAATAAATAAAAATCAAGTATAACATGGATGATGTTTAAAACAGCAACATACTTTATAAAAGGCCAAAGCTTGGTTGGCCATATTTTCATCATTCACTCCAAGGCTGAAGCTTAAATACTTCATTTCATCATAAGCTGTAAACGCAAAGAAAATTGGCATATAAGAACATAAATAATTACATATATGAAATTATTTATGTTAATTATTATATTATGGATAAGTACTGAAAGACAACTATTCAAACTTCTGTTTCATACTAGTTTTCCCTGTAACGGTCATCCTCCTGCACACTATCAATTGCATTGGTTGTTCTGAGTCTTCCGACCATTGTTAAAATATACTTTATTTTTCATTACCTTAGTATAAATATTAAACATCAAAACTTATTATTGGGTTACAACTTTGAAATAAACGAGGAATGACCAGAAGGAAATAGCAGAACTTGACAGATTCAAGAATAACACAGTAACAAATTCAATAATTCTCAGACATGAGGCCTCCCATGCCAAATGAGATAATCAGTAATGAATTTTAACGAAGAAATACCTCTATCTAAAGTCCTTTGACGTGAAGCAGAGTACTCGCTTTGAATCGTTCTTACATAATTGCCCGATAATTGGCTCTATGAGACACAAATAAGGAAACCATGTGAGAAACAATAAAGCACCCTGACAACCTAATGCACATAGAGCTGGTCCAGTTATGAGAACTCAAGCAAACACTTAATGGATCCATTCAAGAAATCTGGTCTCAATCATATTTCTCTTTTAATTATCAAATTGAATTCTTCTATTTAGCCAATTTTATATTCATTACCTGCCCTGCTGCGTTTTTAAAAAACGTTGGCTCCTCAGAAAAATATTGATCTTCCAACACCCTTCCACAGACTTTACAACATCTGAGAAAAAAAAAAAATAATAATAATTAAAAAAAAATACCTCAATATATTCCAAGAAATTCAACAATAAAACTAAAAATAAAAAGAAAGCAGTTACAAATTCAACATCATAACAAAAACAGTGAAACACACATCTTGTTAGAAATTAAAATAAAACAAGGAGGGGGGGGGGGGGGGAAATTTTATTCCATGAATTCATGTGCTAGCATGAAGATACTCACAAGTAACCATCATCGAGTCGCTGGCCAGTAACGTTTTTGGCACAGTGACCACAGTACACCATTGTGCTTTCAAAACAAAATCTACAGAATCAGTCAACGAGATGGAGGTTTCGAAAACAAGTTTAGAATCGAAAGTGGAAAATAAGAAGGAATTGAAATTGTTGAGGGAATCCAGTTGCGAAGTTTGAATCGGAGTTGAAGTTAGTTAATTAGGGTTTTTCGCGGGGGGAGCGATAACCCACGTTCGTTGGTGGTAGTTAAAACCGCCTTGTAGATACATCATTAACTTAAATTAATGAAGATTTTGTTAAGATTAAAGTGATTCGATTTGAATTAATTTAGAAATATTATTTTTATCTATCATTAAAAAAAGTACATTTGAGTTGACTTGAAAATTAGATGACAAAACACACTAAATTTATATAATTGAAATTCATAAAATCTTAAAAGTCAAATCGTTTCTTGCCTTCAACATTTTAAAAATAAGTTTTTATTTATAAATAAAATTAAATCAGTTTTTTTTTATTGCAAACATACTTAAAAGATTATTAATAATATATTAACTCACAAGTGGAATCAATAGTAATTTCAACATAAATAATATTACGAGTATGTTTAATTTTGAAAATTAAGATTCTGATGCAATGATATGAAAAATATCAGGGTTATATTTGAAACATGTTAAGTGGAGTTTAGCGAATCTTATTCCAATCTAATATTTTTGAAAGAATTAATTTTCTTGAAGAATTAGGGAGTTTGAAACTGTGGTTCTAACTTAAGAATGCATTAGCTATTTCGATGACAAATTGTCGCCTAAACTCAAAGATCCAGTGAAAATTATATGGGTAAAGCTCTTTGTGACTTAGAAGCTAATATTAATTTGATACTTATGTTCATTTTCACGAAACTTGGAGTGGAGGTAAAGATTGATCATTTTCTCACCCGGAGATAAAGATTGAGGATATGCTTGTAAAAGTTGATAAATTCATTTTTCCTATGGATGCCATTATTCTTGACTTTGAGGTTGGCAGAGAGTTCTCAATTATATTGGGAAGAGCTTTTCTAGCTATTAGAGAGCTCACCTAAGAGTAAATGAGGAGAAAGTAACTTTTAATGTGCTCAAACTATGAACTATATACGTGAAGATGTAGATGATTGCTCAGCCATTTTAGTGGGGATTCTTTAGTGCAAGATCACTATAAAGTAAACACTGAAGATGATCATATGACAGCAGCTGTGAAGGTGAATGTGGTAAATGTACTAAAGAGTTTAAGGCACAACTAGCATTGCTAAATCCCAAGCCTACTAAATTCCTTGGTCATAAGCACCTTTGACCATGTTAATATGTTTATTTTTAAAACCACAAATGAGTGAACAAGATCACAACTCACAGCCTCAAGAGAGTTGTCATAGATGACAACACTCATTTGACATTGATAAGTTATAGTTGTGAAGACATTTACAATAGCATCATACTTACATAAAATTCTATGTGAATGTGGGAATTTTGCAAAAGGCAAGTATTGGAGTGATTTTGTTAATTGATTAACTTTCTTATGGCAGTAACTCTAATTGTAATTCAAATTTGCAAACCTTAACATTTAACAAATTTAAACCATATATTCAGATTGTTCTTACAATCCAAAAAATTCAAATTGCACAAACCAATAAGAACAAGAGAAAATATCGGTATATCATCTCTACAAAAAGAATCCTATTATTGCTACCAATGCTAAATGGCATCAAGAACAGAAAAACCAAAGTGATTATTGTATGGATCCTAATGAAGGCCTATCTCATCCCCTTTCTTTAAGACTCTTCTTGATACAAAATCTTTAACCCAATTCCCAATGAAAACATAGCTTCTTGAAGAAACTCATTTGTTGAAAATTAAAAATTTGATGGAGGCAGTGTCCACATCCCAAATCTCACCTTGAACACCTTTTTCACATCACCACCAACACCGACACCACCAAATTCTAAGCCAAATCTTTAGGGAGCAAGAGCCTGCTCATGTTGCCAAGATCACTGCAATTGAGGACTTTCTTGATCTTACAGCGATCATCACAAAACATCAAATCCATTGAGTAACCCCAACTTCTCTCTCCGTAAACCTTCTTTCTTGCAGCAACAGAGGTTTTTTAATAAATCTTCCTTTTCTTGGTTAAAGAAACAGAGACATCTTCATTGGTTGTGCTGCAATGACACTTACCAAGTGACAAATGGGTACACACCATTGTATTACAAGGTTACCATGTTATTATGTTTATTTTTAAAATCACAAATGAGTGAACAAGGTCACAACTCACAGCCTCAAGAGAGTTGTCATAGAAGACAACACTCATTTTGTCGTTGATAAGTTATAGTTGTGAAGACATTTACAATAGCATCATACTTACATAAAATTCTATATGAAAGTGAGAATTTTGCAAAAGGCAAGTATTGTAGTGATTCTGTTAATTGATTAACTTTTTTATGGCAGCAATTCTAATTGCAATTCAAATTTGCAAACCACAACATTTAACAAATTTAAACCATATATTCAGATTGCTCTTACAATCCAAAAAATTCAAATTGCAAAAACCAATAAGAACAAGAGAAAATATCAGTACACCATCTATACAAAAAGAATCATATTATTGCTACCAATGTTAAATGGCATCAACAACAGAAAAATCAAAGCGATTATTGTATAGATCCCAATGAAGGCCTATCTCATCCCCTTTCTTTAAGCCTCTTCTTGATACAAAATCTTTAACCCAATTCCCAATGAAAACATAGCTTCTTGAAGAAACGCATTTCTTGAAAATTAAAGAATGGATGGAGGCAGTGTTCACATCCCAAATCTCAACTTGAACGCCATTTTCACATCACCACCAACACTGGCACAACCGAATCTCAGCCAAATCTTTAGGGAGCAAGAGCCTGCTCATGTTGCCAAGATCACTGCAACTGAGGGATTTCTTGATCTTCCAGGGATCATCACAAATCATCAAATCGTTTGAGTAACCCCAACTTCTCCCTCCGCAAACCTTCTTTCTTGCAGCAACAGAGGTTTCTTCTTAAATCTTCCTCTTCCTGGTTAAAGAAACAAAGACATCTTCATTAGTTGTGCTGCAATGACACTTACCAAGTGACAAATGGGTACACAACATTGTATTAAAGGTTACAATGATATTATGTTTATTTTTAAAATCACAAATGAGTGAACAAGGTCACAACTAACAGCCTCAAGAGAGTTTTCATAGATGACAACACTCATTTTACCTTGATAAGTTATAGTTGTGAAGACATTTACAATAGCATCATACTTACATAAAATTCTATGTGAATGTGAGAATTTTGAAAAAGGGAAGTACTGCAGTGATTCTGTTAATTGATTAACTTTCTTATGGCAGCAATTCTAATTGCAATTCAAATTTGCAAACAATAACATTTAACAAATTTAAACCATATATTCAGATTGCTCTTACAATCCAAAAAATTCAAATTGCACAAACCAATAAGAACAAGAGAAAATATCATTACACCATCTATACAAAAGGAATCCTATTATTGCTACCAATGCTAAATGGCATCAACAACACAAAAATCAAAGCGATTATTGTATGGATCCCAATGAAGGCCTATCTCATCCCCTTTCTTTAAGTCTCTTCTTGATACAAAATCTTTAACCCAATTCCCAATGAAAACATAGCTTCTTGAAGAAACGCATTTATTTAAAATTAAAGAATGGATGGAGGCAGTGTATTCACATCCTAAATCTCAACTTGAACGCTTTTTTCACATCACCACCAACACCGGCACCACCAAATTCTTAGCCAAATCTTTAGGGAGCAAGAGCATGCTCATGTTGCCAAGATCACTGCAATTGAGGACTTTCTTGATCTTCCAGGGATCATCACAAAACATCAAATCGGTTGAGTAACCCCAACTTCTCTCTCCGCAAACCTTCTTTCTTGCAGCAACAGAGGTTTCTTCATAAATCTTCCTCTTACTGGTTAAAGAAACAGAGACATCTTCATTGGTTGTGCTCCAATGACACTTACCAAGTGACAAATGGGTACACACCATTGTATTACAAGGTTACAATGTTATTATGTTTATTTTTAAAATCACAAATGAGTGAACAAGGTCACAACTCACAGCCTCACGAGAGTTGTCATAGATGACAACACTCATTTGACGTTAATAAGTTATAGTTGTGAAGACATTTACAATAGCATCATACTTACATAAAATTCTATGCGAATGTGAAAATTTTGCAAAAGGCAAGTATTGCAGTTGTTCTGTTAATTGATTAACTTTCTTATGACAACAATTCTAATTGCAATTCAAATTTAAAAGCCATAACATTTAAAAAAATTTAAAACATATATTCAGATTTCTCTTACAATCCAAAAAATTCAAATTGCACAAACCAATAAGAACAAGTGAAAATATCAGTACACCATCTATACAAAAAGAATCCTATTGTTGCTACAAATGGTAAATGGCATAAAGAACAGAAAAATCAAAGCGATTATTGTATGGATCCCAATGAAGGCCTATCTCATCCCCTTTCTTTAAGCCTCTTCTTGATAAAAAATCTTTAACTCAATTCCCAATGAAAACAAAGCTTCTTGAAGAAACCCATTTCTTGAAAATTAAAGAATTGATGGAGGCAGTGTCCAAATCCCAAATCTCACCTTGAACACCTTTTTCACATCACCACCAACACCGGCACCACCAAATTCTCAGCCAAATCTTTAGGGAGAAAGAGTCTGCTCATGTTGCCAAGATCACTGCAATTGAGGACTTTCTTGATCTTGCAGCGATCATCACAAAACATCAAATCGGTTGAGTAACCCCAACTTTTCTCTACGCAAACCTTCTTTCTTGCAGCAACAGAGGTTTCTTCATAAATCTTCCTCTTCCTGGTTAAAGTAACTGAGACATCTTCATTGGTTGTGCTGCAATGACAATTACCAAATGACAAATGGGTACACACCATTGTATTAAAGGTTACAATGATATTATGTTTATTTTTAAAATCACAAATGAATGAACAATGTAACACCCCATTACCGGACCGGTGTGTTATCATCAAATATGATATTAAGCGCAGTTACAATCACAGTAGTTATTTATAATTTACGGGAAATCTTTTTCTTTTTAATATCGTTTGTACTTTTGAAATAATCGTAACCGACAATATACTAACTGTGATCATAACCCAAAATATTGTGCGGAATAATAATAC